AATTCTAAAAAAACCTACTGATCCTATGTCTTCAAGCCCAATCCAACACTCCTTCCACGCAGAAAGCCACATCTTTAAAACTTCATTCTACATTGAGGCGTGAAGAATAGGTCTGGTCAATAATGAGTAAGAAAGAGAAGCACTCTTTAACCCAAACAGCCAAAAACCACAGGCATGCCCTGCTGTTACAGTATTTTTGGTGTATAATCCACAAAATCTCTTCCTTTCCCCACACTGGAGACTGGAGTGCCCTCATGCCTGCATGCAGGTAAGCCAAGGGGGTGTGTTTCTCCTGCTGTCCCTTCCTCCCTGACACCATTGCCTACTTCTGCTCCAGCACTCCCCATCTGTCACCCACCTCTGCAGATTACTTGAGGATTTATTTTCAAGCAGGCTATAGGGATGAAACTAGGCATTACTCTGTCCTCCTACTCCTGAGCTTCTACCTATTTGTTTCATTAACTTCTGTTACATTGTGATGGCATCATGTTGCAAGCTCTTTAGGACAGAAATGGCCTTTGTAAGAGCTCCATGCACAATGCCCATCCCAGCAGCCCCAGCCTCGCTGACCACGGTTTACGACCACTGCAAGAAAATGAGTATTAAACACCAATACTGAAATCCTGTGAGTCGAGTTTTCCCATTCAGGCCCTAAAACTATGGAAAACTCCCCTTTATTGTAAAGCAGGGACTGTCAGCTCACAGACCACACTTTCATCAACTGCTCTGCTCGTTTCCAGATTTAGTTTTCATTAAAATGCAGCCCAGGATTAAAATAAGTCAGCTGGAGCTATACAGTGGGGTAATTTGCAATACTGCACCAGTGTACAGCCTTAATGATGCTACACGGCTGTGCCCTCCTGTGTCAGCCTTAGCTGTGGTGGCAAAATAATGAGTCTAATCAAGGAAAGGACAATTCTCTGCTTCATATAGTGGAAGGCAAAATATTTTTCCTGCAAGTTACTGCAAGTAGTTGGCTTAGGACGAACAGTAAATATTAACATCTTCACTGCATTTTGTGTGCAGACACTGCTTTTAGAGCAAAAAATCATAGAGGTAACAAAACTTGTAGCAGAGCTGCTCTGACTGACAACCTTAACCTAAACAGTTTTTGCTTTGTGCTGTTTATGAAGGTTTTTTATTGCAAGAGTGGGGGGAAGTAGCTAAAATCCTCACAAGACTACTTAACATTTCCCGGTGAAAATGTAGCATTTCAGTGAAATTCGATATTTTCTTTCATCAAAGGCAGGGAGCCTCAACCCACATGTTAACAGTAATGTAACAAGCCTACTGTATGTGCTACAACCGAAGATCCTTTTCCAATTAGAATTCATTTAGGTTGGGGGGAGAGGAGGGGTTGGAGTGAAGAGGTGGCTCTGGAATTGATCTAAAACTGGAATTCAAGCCTTCTGGCTGGGAGCATTAACCGCTCAGCTGGGAATCCCAAACACTTGTTTGGACTCCGCAGCGAACCAGAAGCAAAAGAGCGAATTTAGGAAGGAGAACATTTTGTCCTCAGAAAACTAAGGAGATGCAAACAAGAATGTTTCTTTTTCCATAGAGGAGAAAGAAAAAAATTCTCTGTTGAAGCAGGAGAAAGAAAAGGTATCCGACAACCTTTAATTTTCCTGAAACTCCAGTCTGAATTTGCTTTTCAGTTCCAGCTCCGACAGAATCTCCAGATCAAACTCATGAGTGTTGGTTAAATCCAGGTTTGCTGATAGAAACGTGTGGGACAGCAAGCAGAATCAGTATCGGGCCTCAAGAGTGGATGTGCCTCTTTAATTGAAAAAGGCAGAGTAATCATTCATTTATTTAACCCAGAGATGATTATAATCTGAAAACCTTGAAATCCTCTTACACAACAACTGTTTTGGCAAGCCCCTCTGTGTTCCAACAAATATTAAACTGTGCTTGCCATTTGTCTAAGGAATCTTGTATTAATAAACATGAAGAAGAACACTTTTACCTCCCACACTCAATGACAGAAAAAAACAAAGACCAGCTGTATTCATCAATGGATCCTTGTTCTGCACATAAAGGCTAATTACATTTTACTTCAAGCCTACACATGGAAAACTTTGCTGCTGCCATCTTGTCAAATTCAGCTTCTGATATTCCAGCTGACAGACTGCACTGACTGCACATAATAAACTTCTTCTTGTCATTAACACCTTCAGCCCCTGCATGCAGGGTACCGGTGGGATGCTGGGGCCAGGGAAGGGCTGGGGCAGCACCTCTGCTGCTGCACACACAGTACCTGCTTGCTGGCAAAGGGGATTTTTATACGCTGGGATGTCAGAAGCTGAGTTGACTGAAGATTTTAACTTCAGCAGCTGCTCCCATTTGAAGATCCTCGCTAGCATCAAGCTCGGATGGTCCCTCCGTACCTCACTTTGCACATACTTTGAGCAGGACATTTGAAAAGATCAACAAACAAGTTGACACAATGATTTCCAACCTTAAGATCACAAGAACCAGTCGCCAGGACAAAATCCAGACCCCTTAATGCTGATATGAAGACTATTTACTGTGTATTTCGTTTGCTTCTATTTTTTGTTGCTGCTTGAAAGATTTTCAAAGTTACCAACAGCTGAAAGACAGCTTTATTCCACAACTGAAAATCTTAAAAGCACTGTTAGCTTTAAAAAATTGACAATTATCTTTTTTTTTCCTGAAGGCACTCCAATTCATCTGCATCAAATAAGCGTCTGTAAAACCAACAATTCTGGCCTAAGATAAAAATCACATGTTTTTAAAACAGAAAATTAAAACTGGCAATACAAGTAGCTTTTCAGACTTAGATCAAAAGAGGAGCTCTTTGTAGCAAAGAATCAAACTGTCTTTCACCATTTTTATTGGTGTTTCTTCAGCCTTTCTCCCAGCTTTTACAATTAAAATAGATGACTCAATTTCACTGTCTACATTCAGTTCCCTTTTCATGTTTTTCTAGATTTCCATATTGCAAAATCGAGGCTACAAACTCCACAGATGACTGTTGTTATGCAAGCACTATTCCTGCCATAAATATCCAAAACAATGATAAAATATTTCTTCTGTTATTAGGTCCCTACAAGTTTGTTTTCACAGCACATTAGTCTGGGAGATAAAGTACATGCTTAATGTCTGCTTCAGGATTCAGCTCCACGATCACTGTATTTTAGACCCGGCCTTTGTAATTGTTCTGCTACAGAACACAATAAACTTTTTGTTACTGCAGATGCTACTAATTTTATGTCATTCTTTATATATTAGGTAAGAATCGTATTCAAGATCATATGAAATACTTCCTCATGAATCTCCCTGACACAATGAAACGCATTAGAAATGCAAACAAACATTTTAGAGCTGATTTTTTGCTCAGTGTAACATAAATTCCAGTATTTAGGGCCACAGTATCAAAAAACGCAGCACTCTCCAAATAAAAACATTAAAAAGAGCGAAGGGTTATTAGGTTCAGTGCCTGTAACCACTGAGCCCTGATCTCTGACTGTTCCCACAGAAGTGACTGCAAGACACAGTAACAGCAACAGAGCTGCCAGCATCAGTTACATGCAGGAAAAAAAAATAGAGGCAATCTGCACTAATTTAAGGCTCCATCAGAACCATCATTAGGATGTGTCTGTTAGAGAAGGAGGAAATCAATGAGGGAGCAAAAATACTTCTGATCCCTTTATATGGAACTCAAAGGAAACTGGACTTAAAGAGCAAACCCCAAATTTACCTAAAGGATTTTCCTGAATCATGTAAAAGGTGTTTTAACTCCAAGTGCTGATTCTTAACCACAATGGACTGAATTTTGTAAGCTCCAAGTTCTTCATGTACTCAGTGGGGAATCGGGTCCTCAATGATCACAGAACCATATGATAAGAAATTAAAATTTGTTGCCAATTTGGCTAGCTTTGAAAAACCTGTATTACCTTGAGTGCCATGAGCCACACCAGAAAGCACTTACCTACAGGCTACACCAAGACCATGTCATTCCTTCCTCCATCAAGCCTAGGCTATGGTTTCTCTTGCCCCAATACAGAGACAGCCAATAGCCTTCCCTTAACCGTATACCCTATACCAGAATGGGTGGTAAGGGGCAGCAGCAAGGGTTTTCCTCTCTGTTCACCCCATCACCAGCCTACTTGGAAGTGGGGGTGAAGCTGGGCCTCTGCAGGATGTTGGCAGCGGCCACAGGGACATGATGTGCATCTTCCAACCCTTGCCTTTACAGCAGGCCAAGGGACACCCATCTGAAATGGCTGCTTCTTTCCCATCCCATTCCCAGACATAGAAATGATTCTTTGGGCTTAATACTGCTGATCATGAGAATTCCTTCTCATTAGTAACGTTCCTTAAATATGAAGGGTTCAAAGAAAAACAGCAGAAGTCTGTCTCTCTTTTGTTGTTTCCTGCAATGATTGTTAAAAAAAAACCAGGGGATAATTGGAAACAGTAGCCATTAAGAAGACAGGGATATATATTTTTGAGGCTACCTTCATGTTCTGCTTGAAAACAAGAAAATTCCACCACAAAATGCTACTCAGTAATTTGGGGTGAATTTGAGAGAGTGATGACTGCTACCCCAAAAGCAGAAAGATGCCGGGTGCCTAACAGTGAAAGAGAAATCCTTTACTAAACTAAGTTTTATTTTCACCAAGGTTGGGAGATCACAGTAAATACCTTATTTCTGAAACTGCCCTATTTCTAAATAAAATCTAAGAAATATACAGTATCAGAGGTACACGGTATATATTATACATGAGAGACGTAGCACCTAAGAATGAAACCAGGAATGCAGGAGCATGTGTGCCAGGAAAAGCATCTCGCTGGGTGGAAGAAAATATGAAAACTAATAATCTCTCTATAGGAGGCCAAATTATGACCATGTTTTCCAACAAATTTGGACTCCTGAACCTCTTCCATTTCGTCTGTCTCCAGCAGACAGACGCAAAACAAAAAAGCAGTGATACCCTGAAGGAAGACATAGAAAGAAAACAGCGCATTCTTACTTTGCAGTAGTTTCTTCATCGTATTTTGTTTTCAGATCAAATAGTTCTGTTCTGGTTTTTTCCAAGGCTAAAAGGCATAAACATGAAGCATTACAGCACTGTGACAGCAGTGAAAAGCAAAGAGACTACTCTCATTTTCTTTTATTCAGCCACAAATAAAGCTGTACACCTCCTGATGAAAAATTCTTTGCTTTATCTTTCTACCCAGGCACCATTATGACTTAGAAAAAAACACAGATTTGATTTTTCACAATTTCTTAAGGTATTTCTTTTACACTGCAAATTTTATAGTTTTTGATTAACAAAGCTAGACATTATTAATTTCTATTAAGCCGGCTAAACTGCTTATTCATTTGAAATATTTACTGCAGTAATTCAGGTAATACAATTTCTTGTGTTCTCAAATGAAACTACACAAAATGTGTCCAGACCTGGAATCTCGAAGTATGCAGAGATGAATATTAATGGTAAGCAAGTCATAGCAATAGGCAAGACACACTGGTAGAAACTAGGTTTGTACTGAACCCGGATCACTACACGTGTTTATCATAGATCAGAAATGTGTGAAACCATATCAAAACACAACATACATGAGAAGTTCCATGGTCTGATTTAATTGCAGTGATGCTCTAACACTTTACTTGCCTCATGCTTGGCCCTGTCCACTGTATTTACCAATAGACTGGCTGCAACACAAGCGCTGACTTAAGGTGTGAAGCCCTAAAGAAGGTCCAATGCACAAAGCACATTTAAGCTGTGTTGGATCTTTGCACTTCCAAGAGCTGGTTCACACAGTCTTGATACATTTCGTGATCTCTATCCTCCCACCTCCAGTCTAATCACTGCTAGAGGTCAGAAAAGCGATGCCAAACCTGTTTGCAAGGCTTGAACTTTGTGTTCAGCTTCTTCCAGCTTCGAGGCTGTCGACATCTGTGTCTCCTGCAATTTTCTATAAAGGGAAGAGAAGAGGTGAGAACAGAGCTCATAATCATGTTAAACAACTTATCCGTATTTTGCAAATTTGGAAGATAGAGTGATTAAATGTCTCAACTGTCATCAGACAACTGACAACACCACACAGACTACAAGGTGCTTCAACGGGACCCATAAATCATGTCACGCTGCGATACTGTTCATACTTTGCAGTCCCACTTATTAAAATTTTAACAGTGTAGCCACCTCATAACATAAGCTGTGAACATTATACAAGAGTTGACTGCTATATAAATGACAACTTTAGTGGAAGGTTTTCTTGAGCATAATTTGTTTTGGAAATGTCACACACATTGAGAAAATTGTCACCAGGCACCCTCTGTTGTACAAAGTTAGTACAAGAAGAATGATACATTTCCATTTCGCTGTCATAATGAAGAAATTTGTTGCTATAACTGATATAGCGCATAGATGCAGCAGCTGTTTCATCATAGCTCTAATGGATGCCAAATGCAGTAATATTATTAGCTACTCTTTAGGAGAACACACATATTTCAAAACAAATCTCACACTGATATTTTCCATATAACATGAGCAAAACTTTAATATGCTCACATTTTTTATGTCCACAGGCAATATTCTCTCGTTTGTGTCAGTTATACACGTTCCAACATCATCTGGCCATACAGTTGCTACACTCCTTGCTGTAGGCTGACTGCAGGCATTAGAAAACTCATCTCTGAAAGGGAGCTGCTCCAGCATCTCCCAGGAGTTGCTGCTTTTTATGACACTGCTTTTAAGGTATTCTGCACATTTCAGAATTGTGGAAGGGCTTATGAAACTACCAGCATCCTACTTGCACTCCACAGGGTGCACACATTTATTCTCCAACACTGCTGACCAGGTTAGTAACTATTTATAGCCAGAAACGTGCATCAGCTCCCTTCATACCAAGTTATATAGTTTGAGAACTTAAAACCTCTCTTCTACACACTTCCATTTGCATTCCATGACCTGCCATTTTGTTCTAAGCATATCTAAATCACACTTGGTAAAGCCACTGCTTACACACTACTTACTGAAAAGTAACCACAGATATTGAGGGATTCAATAAAGCTTTGCATTCACCGACAGATTCTCCCTATACAGACCTGAATTGAAACAACCAACCCATCAACTAAAGAGCTTATGTAAACTGAAGGGCTTCCACACTAAGTTGAACATATTATCGCTTCAGTGTTATTGTTCCATGGAAGAAATGAATTCTCAAGGTAGGAATGCAGCCTAAAAAATCCCTCTTAAGACCCTTAGTCTCACCCTGCTGATTTGTTTGCTCACTGACCTGCAAGATTCAAACATTCTCTGCCTGTTTGTAAAAGACTAGAAATGCATCCAAGATGCTTCCAAAAATCAGTAATAAGTAATTAAAATCCTTCTTAATTTTGACATGTAGGAATGTGCAGTCCTTCTAAGGGTAATTCAGGTGCACACCCCCTCTCTTAGATGTTACCACAGGAGCGAGAGAGATGCTCCTTTTTGCTCTTGGGTACAGTGTTTCATCTTGCCCAGCCCAGGGTTGTGCAGATTCTACAACGGTACTGTGACACACAAAGCAGACACAGCAGACTGAATTACACTGTCGGCTAATGGAGAAATATTAGCGTCACAAAGGACAATACAGCTAGTGAAGAAGAAAAGCAGGTTTGCACCCTTCTGAACATGACACCCCCCACGCAGCACTACTGCAAAGAAACAATCTGTCCTTGTTTTACTTCCACACTTTCACCATTGTTTTTCGGTGCAAAGTTGAGTATCAAATGATTCCGTGTCAAACACATAAATCGCCACAATCACTCAATATATGAGCTGTCTCAGTGCACTGAACAGCGAGTCCTGGCTGGGAAGATTAAATACAGAGAAATACATCTCTCCTCCTCTGCAGTGCTGACAGATCACACATGCACATAAACACTCACCTCTCCTTCTCCGCAAAATCATTTTGTAACTTTTGTTCTTTTTCAAGGGCTATATTCTCCGCTTGGTTCTTCAGGGTCTGTTCATACTCTCGGATTTTCTCTTTAAGTGTTTTTATTGTAACCTCTACAGAAAAACAATAGGGGAAGAATGAGTTTACACAGCTCCACGTGGTTCCGCAACACAAGGCTTTCTTTACCCTGTAGGCTCAGCGTGTTTTAAACTTTAGCTCTTCAACTCTGACACAAAATCAATGGATATGAGTCCCTTTGGAGACCTTTTACTCCCTAAATGTTAAATTGAACTTTAAGTGTTTAGGCTGAGAAGGATCAATGGTGTTTGCTGGAAAGCAGAGTGAAGAAGGTTCTTCTAACATGACTTTAAAAAACAGAAAGGAGGGGGGGGATCAATTGGAAAATATAATATCACTTTATTGACTAGTCTAAAATTAGCTCGCTGCCGAGTGGAGATTAATAAAGTCCCAGTGCAGGTTTAAGTATGCATTTATACACAGGACAGCTAATTCACGTAACTGTGCTCATGTAAAGAGAGGCAGTTTTACTATGGTTCATGCACAGATGCAATCTAACACTAATTGAACACATATCTGGGATACAGCCACATTCTGCTTTCAACTGATGAAAAATACGGCAGTTAAGATTTAACTGCTATATTAACAGTAGATCCGATTCAACAGACACTCTGGAGCCCTTCATATCGTAGTTGCTCTAACTGCCCTGCCACTAACACCAGGTTTTATGCACAAGCATCAACTATTATAACTTTCTGAGTGCACTCGCAGCCTTCCAGGGAATTTGCAGAAACCCTTCTCTCAGCTCAAGAAGCTATCTCACATTTGCAGTGCTTGGTAATGGATGAGAGAAGATGCATAAACCTGCAGAGCTACAGCACAGTCTCTGATGGACAGCATCTTGTTACATGCCCTCATCCGTTCCTGTGTGAAAGCCCTTTGATCCCACCCACAGGAAAGGACTGGATCCTTATAGGGCTCAGCAGAGGAAAAGCAGGACATTCACCAGAGTATGCTTTGTAACAATAATGGAATTTGGAAAAAGCGTTAGACTGCCAGAGGACTCGCTGCTAGCAACACATTTCAGTGTACTTACACAGAGATGGGGGGGGTTAAAGACAGCAGCTTAGTAACAGATACCATTAACAATGCTTCAGGAAAAAATACCTCTGCACATCAGAAGTTTCTCAATACTATCACACAAAACCATACATAATCTTTGCAAAGTCTCCACTTTGAGAAGTGTAAAGCCAGAGAGTAGCTAGTGACAAGGTCTGCTGCCTGGGAAATACACCGGGTGGCAGCTTGGGCCACTGTGACCATAAAGAAGTAGGGGGAATAGTGGTAAAAATGACTGCCAGCAAACGAGCTTCTTTTGAATCAAGGAGTGGGATTTTGCTAGCCCTGGAAAGACCAGATGAGGCTTGTTACTGAGTAATAGGCCCTGAAAAGGACGTGCCACTTCTGATTTGTCTTTTTTAAAGCAAAGGGAAATTCTCCTCAGAGATCTGGGAAATAATACAAATTGTGATCTTTCCCTGAACAAGCAAAGGATGCTCCTCCACAGAGGCAAAAGGATGCTCATCCACACGTAGAAATGATGTACTCTTTGTACCAGAGACACCTTTGCTTCAGGTATTTTCAGACATAAATCTGCAAAAGTATTCAGGTAGATGGAGAAGCAGAGAGCAAAAGAATCTCATGGAAATGCATACGGCTGCATCCTAACAAAGTTTTAATGTTTCATTGCAAAAGGAAATGAAACTACAAAAACGAATGCAAGAAGTGCACAGATATGGGAAAAAATATGATTTGCAACAAAATTTGGTTTTGTCTTTAGAGACCTAACAACAGATGTGCTGGACAAGCATACTTTAATCCATATACTGCCCGAAGAACTAAGTGCTGTCTTTACTGTGTAGGTCAGCCAAACCTTGTTAGCCACTGCATTTATACCACTTTTGGAAGGAGTTCTTACAGGCACTGTATAGCTCATACACAGCCCTCCAAACAAAGAGATTAACTGATCAAAGGACCCTTAGCTAACAACAGGCTTTTCCCTGGATATCTTATTAATCCCTGTTTGAAATGGAGTGTAAAACTATTGCACTGGAGTGAAAAACACTGCAAAGACTACAGTGGCAAAACAGAAAGGAAGTTAGTAGCCAACAGGGAAAATAAAAGATGCCAGTTTATGAGTGGTTGCAGCAAAACCCCCTGGAAGATCTTTCACTTTCTCAGATGAATCCCTGTGTCATGCTTGGATGTACAGGATGCACAGCCTCAGGAAAACTCTGCAGGGGGAACTGCAATTACTGCGCATTTCCAGTAAAAATACTGTAGGGTTTAGAGCATTTTGGCTCCCACAAGACACCTCTTTCAGTCCAGGCTGAACTCCTGCGTGCTGATACCTATCCTCTCCACATGTCACACCCTCTATGGTCAAACAAAATATACAATATATGCTCTTTCTGCTGAAAATGAGATGTAACAGAACCAACTTAGTTGCTATCATAGCTTTCAAGTGTTACCCACTTGGTGCAACAGTTCTATAACATTAAGAAAAAACCTCTCTCAGTTTTCCCCAATCCTGGACAATTCCCCCTTCCACCACCCAGAACTGAGTATTAAACATGGAAACGAAAAGTCCCACGTTTAGGCAAATAGGTGTACAACTGAACAAATTTGGTTTCCTGGTGCGGGAAACTTTCTTCTGAATCACAGGAAAACTTTAGCAGTCTTATAGACCCCAGGCTTTAAATCTCATTGAGATTTTCATGTATTTTCAAGTACTCTGTTCTCATTAAAACTTAAAATAATTCAACAGTATTAGCTTGTATTTACATTGCTCTATGGATAGTCTCTAGAGTAAATATAAAGTATGTCTGCTGAATGTACTCCAGTAATACATTTCAGATTTAGATAAGGAAGAACAGAGTATAGGGAACATTCTAGTTTGTACAGATTTGTATGTGTGTGTAAAACACTGGACTTTTGTGCTTGCCTTTGTAACATGTACGTACTACAGACACCCACACCCATCTTGATGTCAGGAGTAGCACCATCTCTCTCGAAGTATCTACATATAGCTTCAGTCACGGGTGCAATTTTCAGGTAGTGCTGAAGGCTACAACCAAATATGCAGCATAACAGCCCCATTCTCTGACTTGGTGCTATAGTAGACAAAATGTTTTAAGAAAGCCAAGTAGTCTCCCCAAAGTCATATCTATACATGCATAAATACAGAAGTGGCTGTAACATACTATTACGCTTTCTTTACTGAATTTCAATGCTACTGTCAATTCTACCTGTGAGAAATAAAACTGAATTTAATCCCCATCTTCAACTTTCAGTATGCAGTGAAAGCTGATAGAAGAATGCATTTGCAACCTACCCTGATTTTTCACCTCGGCGAATTCTTTATTGTATTCCTCTAGAGTTTCCCTAAGTTTCTGGTTCTCTGTTTCAATATCGTGCATACGTTGAACCTTCAGCTGAAGCTGCTGTCCTAAATCCAAGGCTGGAACTGGATCTGAAAAAGAAATGGTAAAATAAAAGCTAAGATATAATTCATTGTATCTATGTTACCCTATAAATATGGAGACAGGCTGAGAGAGCTGGGCTTGTTCAGCCTAGAGAAGGCTAGAGGGAGATCTTGGTGCAGCTCCCAGTGCCCAAAGGAGAACTACAAGAAACTTGGAGGGGGATTTTGACTAGGGCACATGGGGACAGGACAACAGGAATGGCTGTAAACAGAAGGAAGATTTAGATTAGGTATTATGAATAAATTCCTCCCTGTGAGGGTGCTGAGGCGCTGGCACAGGGTGCCCAGAGAAGCTGTGGCTGCCCCATCCCTGGCAGTGTTCAAGGCCAGGTTGGATGGGGCTTGGAGCAACCTGCTCTAGTGGAAGGTGTCCCAGCCCATGGCAGGGGGTTGGAACTGGGTGAGCTTTAAGGTCCTTTCCAACCCAAACCATTCTGGGATTCTATGAAATTGGGACATACTAACTTCATTGCAGCATTAATCCACAAAGCAGTGTCCCTGGGTGAAGACAGTCATTGTACGTAATACAAAGAGTCTGAAGCTTAACATTTTTGTTTGCAAAATAAGAGGTTTTGGGTAAGACGCAAACTGCACAGCTCACTGACAGGCCCTCACTTACCCCTGCTTCTGCAGGACAGAGTTTCTGAAGCAAATTCACAGCTGAGCTCAGAAAGGTTGTTTGATCATGAAGATCTGAGCTATACTTTTTCTAATTGATAGATCAATAATAATCAGAAATTGGGTGGATGTAATAATTTCCATGAACCCTATGAACCCTGGGGGGTGTTACTCCTCTTTCCTCATTTTCTTATACTACTGATCAAGTAGACATTAGAAATTATACTGAATGCCTCTCAGCATTTATTCTCTGATGTTCATCCCCATTGGTTTAAGGGAGTCTTGAGCACACACCTCACGTGATTTATTCTGGGACTTCTTCTCAGCAGGAATAGGAGTCCGATGGACTTATAAAAGATTATTGACTATATTTCTGTTATGGGCGCCAGCATCTCTTGTGAAGTGGCTGCAAAGATTTAGTCTCCTGTTGAGGAATGCTAAACACCAAACTCAGTGGATCAACAACAGTATATATTAGGGAGTTCACTTAATTTTCAACCACCACAGTCATTAATTTTTCAGACCACCCTCAGTCTCTGGAAACACATAATAAGTCTATTGTACCTCTGTTAACACATTAAGCATGAGCCTGTGTGTTTTTTCAATATGCCAGCGTTGTTTCATAGTTTATAGAAGAATAGTACTGGGTTATGTTGAGCTCAGAGACATTATAAGTAGCAGCCTGCTGCATTTTGTTACTTTGGTTCTTCAACAGCTTATGGCATTACCCTGTTCATAATACAAAATCTAGGTTGCTTGTCATCTGTTCTCTGCACATACATAGTTTATGACTACATAGCTTTTTCATTTATGCTTTTTAGGCCAAATACTTTTCGTTATTATTATCTGTATTAAAATATTTATAATAAATCAAACTTTAAATGTTATTATGGCAGAGACAGGGGTACAGGTAAGGGATTAAATATAAAGTTTAAGTCACAGCAGTAGCACAAGTTAAAGGCCCTGCAATATTTATGTATGGTCCAATTATGGTACAGGCTGTCACAACATCCCCCTCTCCCACGGAGGTCTGCCGGCCTTTATCAGGAATGACCGTTCTGTCACACTTGTGCAGCTCAGCATTTCTCCCAAAGAGCTAGCCCAGGACATTCAGCTGCTGAACATAAAGAAAGGCTGGGCTGTCTCAATCTATCTGTGTGTTGAATTGCTACAGGAACCACAGAGCGCATCAGGCAGGGATCTGAAGCCTCAGCTATGATAATTCTATCAGTGTTACAACAGCACAGTGAAAGAAACTGAACTTCACGAAACTGTGGGTGCACTTTTCCCCCCCTTCGTTTTAACATGCCCATTGTGAAAAGCCAGGACACCCACAAGAGGCATTTTGCTCCAAATACACAAGGCTTTTTATATTTAAATCAGTAAAGAATTAAAAGACAAAAATAACATGGGCATTATAAAGTGAATAATGACTAAACCTTTAGTCAAATTCGCAATCCCTGAGAAGCTTTATGTACAAAATGAAAATGCTTGCAGTCTCATAATTATTCATCAGGATATGTATATTTAATTTAGCTCTATTAAAGGTTAATGTTCAAGTAGCAAAACAGTGACAGAACAAACAAAACGTAAGAACAGTCTCTGAGCATTAGACTTCAAACTTTACTAGAGCCTATTTGAAGGACTAATGGCCCACAGCCACTAAATACTGCTTAAGGACATGTAAAAAAAAACCCATGGCTGAAGCACCTCTTAGACTTAATTTTTATACGCTGCATTAAAGAAAACTAATCACTGCATGACAATGAAATGACCAAGAAGTTTTGGGCAGAGACAAATACCTCATTTCTCGTGGTGAGCCCCAACATGATCTTTAATCTCAAAACCCCTAAACCCCCATGACTGCTGAAGTATTTATAAACACTGTTTAATCTGAGACAAGTATAAACCTTAGGGTCAGAATGACTTTTTTCTTACCTGAGTGGAGTGGATTTAAAAATAAATAAAACTACTCTCCTTTCCCCAACATACACATGCATGAAAAAGCATCCCTTTTTATATTAACCAGACTTCCAAAGCATGTTTCATGTCATTTAGCAGGAGGTCACTGAATTTTTAAACAAGCAATGGACCAAAACTTTCGATTCATTACACAAACAACAGGCATACATGTTTGGAAAAAGGGGAATAAAATCAAGTGGCACAAGCTCATGGAGAGAGGCAAAGATGGAAATGCCCTTTCTGGAGTCTGTAAAAGAGAGAAATCATCTTACTTAGTGCTTGAGCGTGGAAAACTTATGGCAAATTATTCTCTTGGTTTGAATCTTCTCTAGGATGCAAAAGTTCAGAGCGCCTGCTAGGCACAGGGTAAGTAAGGAATAAGAAAATGGGTAAAAGGAATCTGATCATCCAGAACTTGAAAAAGTGTTTCGCAAGATCATTACTGCCCACGAGTAAATCAAAGCATCTATTTTTATACTAAATTGGGTATGGTTTTTTTCCTATTGCTTTTTATTCTGTTCTACTTTCCTGATGCACTTGTTGCATCCCACCCCCACAAAGAAGCCCTTCACATGGTGCATTTATATGCAGCTCGGCACATCTGGATTTGCCCCCTGATCAGGCATCCTCCATGCTACCACAGCAGAAACTGTAACTGCTGGATTTTCAAACTGGTATCTGCAAAGCCTGTTCCTGCCTTTACTTTCCAAGGAATTGCCTTTTGGTGCTGTTCCATGAGCACATCCCTGTGCTCGCTGCTGCGACATCACACAGTGGTGCCCTTGCAGATGAGCTTCCATCCTCACAAAAGAGGTGGATGGACGTGTCTCGGTGAACACAGACGTGAAAAAAATAATGTTATAAATGTAACGTAATTTTTATAGCAGCTAATACTTCACATCAAGCGGGCTGATGCAATGCAGCCGCAGAAACACCTCTCAGACTGTTCCCACACCGTACACATGCCCTGATGATAAATCTTTTTTGAGTAGCAGCGCAAGAGAACCTATTTTTTTCGCTGCTGCTTATGCATGTACGATACGTATTTTAGGAACAATTTTAAAAGAAACACAAAGACTGATCTTGCCAAACCAAAGCATTACACAACTAGTTCACAGCAGCACCTCAGCACCCACAACCCCAAGCTGCTCCCCAAACCCAACCTCAACACAGGAGGTTGAGAAGGCCTATTGGTGACCAGCTGGATGATCCAAAGGGAGTTTCGTTTGAGAAACCCCATTCCTCCCTCGCTCTGCGAGCTGGAAAAAGACACAGATCTTAATAATTCAATCTAAGTGTTTACACAAAGAGCGCTGTAGGTACCGTTGCCCTCCCCTGTCATTAGGCAGCAATGAATGCCCCCCCTTGTGCGCCGGCTCCTGCCATGACATCACGCTCCTGCCTGCGTTACTTTGCGCCAGGGCACTCTAGGCTAATGTAATCATACGATTACATAATTAACCCAGCTGTCTCATTAAGAAAATCAACTGGAATTCAGGGCATAATTAGTCATACAGCAATTAGCATGCTGATGAGCAACTGATGAAAAGCTGTCTCGATATATGCTGGGACCACCCTCGCTATTTGAGGAGAGGGGGGAAAAGCCCACCTCGGCTCCAGGAGAACGGGCTCGGAAGTTCGTTCACCGCCTCGGCCGCGGGCTGTGGAGCCGGGAGAGGCAGGAGCTGCTCCCGACCGGACCCCCTTCCAGCCGGCGGCCGCGGGACCTGTTGGTGCTGAGACGGACGGAGGGATGTGCTGCGGGGGGGAATGTGCCGAACGAAGTGGAAAAAGCGTGTCACCGTTTAAGTGTGCGGTTTACAGAGCACCTTCTCCATACATAATATTTTATACCTATATAATTTATAAGGCCCCCGCGGCGGCGCGCCGCTCAGCGGGAGCCCCTCCATGGAAAGCACCCGGCGATCTCCACCTGGGCGCAGCGGAGGCCTGGTCAACCCTCCCCGCCGGAGGGCGGGCGCTGGCCGGGCACCGGCGGGGAGCGGGGGGGCAGCGGGACCCCGCGGCGGGCACCGGCCCGGGCGGCGCGGCGGGTAGAGAGAGAGGCAAAGCGCGGCCTGGATCGCGCCGGGCGGATCGGGAGGGCTCGCGGAGCAGGGCTGAGGGCGGCAGCGCTGCGGGAGCTGCTCACACCCTGCACACCCATCACACGCACCACGGCCAAACCCCTCTCCACGCACGGTACGGCGCTTGTGAGTGCCTTCTCCCTCCTCCCTGGCAAAATGTGTGCCTCTGGTATCTTAAAATGGAGCTCCTGAAGAGACTCTTCCAAAACAAAGGACTTCTCCTAAAGCCCCCTCCTCCCTCTTCGTTACAGGCCTGTGAGCGCTGGAAACGTGAAGAAAGCAAGTTATGAAACTGCGCCAGAACTACAGGGGCAATTAATA